TGGCACACACCTACAAAAAATCCCAGCATTTAGGAGGCTGAGGCAGGAGGATCACCCCAAGTTTGAGGCCATCCTGGACTACATAGTTAAAGGACAGCCTGCATTACATAATGAGACGCTGTCTCAAAAAATAGTCAAAACTCAAATATATGCTATCTGTAAGCTATACAAGAAAATATAATGATAAAGTTAAAAATAAAGAATGGAAAAAGATATACCATTCTCAAAACAAAAGAAAACTAAAACAGCCATATCAGTATTAAATAAACTAAAAAGCAGGGATATCTTCTTGGATAGAGATGTAAGGATAAAGGATCAATTTATCAAGACCATATAACTATCTGTTAATGTGGATGCAACTAACAACAGAGTTCAAAATACATAAAGCAAAACCTGATGGAATTAAAAATATGTAATATGTTGGAGATTTCCAAACTCCTTTCTGAATAATCGACAGGCAGAGTTAAAAACAGTCAAGAGTATATAAGAAATAAATTACACTCTAACCCAACAATTATACAACACTCTAGCCAACAACAGAATATTCAAGTACATGCACGGAACATTCATAATTTATCATTTCAAAGAAACAGTTTTTAGTTTCATTTTTTTTCACTTTTTTCAATTTTATTGATTTCTGCTTTTTACTCTCTATTTCTGATTCAATCCTGGTCATAAAGCAAACCAGGACAAATTTAAGAGAACTGAGATCATACAAATACTCCCAGAACAATGGAGTTAAAACTAGAAGCCAGCATCAAGAAAATACCTAGCAAATTCTCAAATACTTGAGAAATTAAACAACAAATTTCTACGTTATTCACAAGTCAAAGATGAAATTTCAAGGGAAAATATTTTGAACTAAACAAAAGAAAAACAAAATTCAAAATTTGTGGGAGGTTAGCATCCAAAGTTTTGACTTTTTCTTTCTTTTTTTTTTTTTTTTTTTTTTTTTGGAGACAGGGTCTCACTGTGCAGTTCAGGCTGGCCTTGAGCTCACTTTGTAGCCTACGCTGTTCTCGAACTTGCAAGGATCCTCCTGCCTCAGCCTCCCCAGTGCTGGGATTACAGGCATATGCTATCACGCCTGGCTTGTTTTCATTTTTTTTATTAACCTGCAAGACGCAGGTTAATTATTAGTGTCAGAAAAGCAAGAAAGTCTCAATAAACAACACAGGCTTCTGCCTTTAGGAAATGTTAAAAAAATATAAAGTAAACCCAAAACAAGCAGAAATAAAAAATAAAAAGCAGAAGTCAATAAAACTAAGAGAAGAAAAATCAAGATCAATACAATTATAAACTTCTCACCAGATTAATGAGAGAGACGGCGACAGGAAGGGGAGGGAAGATACACAAATTATCAGCATCAAAAATAATACAAGCAAGCTGAACCCAAAAATACATAAAAGGGACAATACATCAAAACCAAGAAAGGCTTATCACAGGAATGCAAAGTTAGATCAGTTCTCAGATATCAATATAATTCACTATGTTAACAGGCCTGGGCTAAAGAAGATAAACATTATCACATCAAATAATGTATAAAACCATTTGATAAAATCCAACAGTTATTCATGATAAAAATCACAGCAAACAGGAAAAAATGAAATTCCTTACCCAGATAAAAGCGATCTTTAAAGATACATCTATCATATTTAATGATGAAAGACTGAATTCCTTCCTCTAAGATGGAGAAAAGGCAAGGATTTTTTTTCCTCACCATTGCTATTCTGTGTTGTGCTGGGAGCCCCATAGAGCGCAAGAGGGGAAGGGGGAGGGGAAGGGAAGTGAAGCTAAGGAAAGCAAAGCAAAGCAAAGCAAAGGAGAAAGGGAGGGAGGGAATACAGATTGGAAGGGAATATAAAAACTGTCACTATTTGAGGATAACATGATTTTCTATGTAGAAAGCTTTAAGGAACCTACAGAAGCCCGTAAAACAAGTGAGCGAGTTTAGTATGGCTGCAAGACACAAGATCAAGATACAAAAAGTAACTATTTTTAAGTATTACTTAACTGGAATTTGAAATTGAATCTACTTACACACATACAATTTGTGTGTCTGTATATACAGATCATTCACAATAGCCTTCAAAATAAACACAGATTTAAATTTAACAAAATTATGGAAAGATTTATTTGTTGAGAACTATAAAATGCTGATTTCTTTTTAAAAAATCAAAGACCTAAGTAGAAACATATAAAAAAATTTTATATCGTTAAAATGCTACTTATAGAATCAATTCTCCACAGTGTGGTCTAAGATTTAATACAATTCCAATTAAAGTATTAATAAGATTTTTTCTAAATATGGACAAGCTGATTCTAACTTTTTTTTGAAAGTTGAAGGATTTCAAACACAAACAATTCTGAAAAAGGATAAAGTTGGAAGACTCGCATTACCAGATTTTTATGGCTTGCCATGAAGCAACAGAATTAAGACAGTGGAATTTAGGCAAAAGGATAAACGAACATATTAATGGAATGCAGTAAAGAATTCAGAAATAGTACAAATCTGGTTAAAAGATTTTTTTTAAAAAATATGCAAAAGCCATTTAATGGAAATGGTATAGTGTTTTCAACTAATGGAATCAGAACAAGTGGTCATCTATATTAACAATCATTTTTACTTTCTATAGTTTATGATAGTTTGGTATTTTAAAAAGCATGCTAGCTAGGGAGACTGCCCATTCCTGGGCTAGCCAATTCTTAAAGAGATACTCAAGGGTATCTTTCATATGCAAATCAACTCGTTACAAGTCCATAGTCCCAGCTAATTCCATACCTAACTTGTAGCAGGCCAACTTTTTTGTGTGTGTGTCTTTTTTTTTTGAGACGAGGTCTCACTATGCAGTTCAGGCTGGTCTTGAACGCATTTTGTAGCCCAGGCTGGCCTAGCAACAATACTCCTGCCTCAGCCTCCCAAGTGCTGGGATTACAGGCATGTGCCACCACGCCCGGCTTGCAAGCCAAGTATTTCTACTATCTTATATCATCCCAGGAGTAGGCAACAAACAGCTAGAAACCATTCCTATGTAACAAAGTCTACCAGAATTATTCAAATTAGCCAATGCTAAACTGTAACCTCGCCTACTTTGTTTTTCTTAAAAAACCTCAATGAAGACTCAGGACTCTCACTCTTTCTGCGGTTAAATCTGGTATTTTCCTTTGTAGCCTTGTGTGGTATGACATTTCCCCTTCTCTCAGGAAATGTAAGCAATAATTTCTGTTTTAGTACTCAGATATGTCCATAAATTAAAATCATCTCACAGAAAAATTAACTCAAAATGTGATCATATATCTAAATGTGAAAATACAAAATTTTTTAGAAAACTTTGTGACCTTGGTTAGGTAAAGTACCGTTAGATGTAACATCAAAAACAAAACCCATAAAAGAATAAACCAATAAACTAGAGTCCATCAAAAGTAAAACCTTTTGAACCCTGAAAGACATTACTAAAAATGTAAAAAGAAAAGCTTTGGAATGGGAGAAAATATATGTATACCCAACAATAAAAAAAACTCAATAAAAATAAAAATATAACAGCCAAAATACAGACTATCAATTAGCCCTTGAAAAGATGATCAATTATCATTAGTTATTCTGGAAACACAAAATAAAAACCACAACTAGTCACCACTACACATTTATTGAACAGCTGAAATTTAAAAACAAGTGACAAAGGTCAAGGACAGAGAATAATTGCAATTCTCGTACACTGTTGATGATAGCTGCACTAGAAAACATTTTAACATTTTCTTAAGTTAAACATGCATTTAGGATACCAACCAGTAATCCTACTCTGAAATATTTATTCTAAAATATGAAAACTTAAGTTTGATAAAAACCTGCAAAGAAATATTATTGTAGTTCTATTCATAATTACCTCAAACTGCAAACAAATGTTCACAAGTGAAAAGATAAACACTGTGGTGCAGTCATATAATGGACTACTACTCTGCAATACAGAGAAATGGACTACTGATACACGTGTAATACTGGTAATCTTGAAGGTGTGGGGCTATGTAAAAGAAGTCTGTCTCAAAAGCTAACATACTATACAATTTCATTTATAGGATACTGTGGAAATGACCAAACTAATAAGATAAAGAACATATCGATACTTGCTAGAGGGTAGGGGAAGGAGAGTTTGACTGTAAAGAGGTAGCATGAAATGTTTTTTAAATGATGGACTTGTTCTGAATCTTGATTGTAGCAGAAGTTTCACAAATTTGTGGATGTTTTAAAACTTGTGAAGTATACACCAAGATTTTTTATATTTAAATTCTTTGCAAAAAATGTTTTAAAGAAATAAATGAAAACACATGAGGGCAGAATGCTTTGTTTTCAACTAAATTATTGAGTTCAATTTAATTTTCAGGTTTTCAAATTTTAAAGAATTAACTTCACAACACTGACAGAAGTTCCAGGGGTCAAATTAATTTTATCAACCAAGGCAAGGAAAATAATAGCTGAGAAGCAATTTCAAACTCTCATATTTCAATTATGCCTAAACAAATCATTAATCTAAAAGACATGCAGAGGGGGCTGGGGATTTAGCTCAGCGGCACTGCGCCTGCCTGGCAAGCGCGAGGTTGTGAGTTCGGTTCCCGGTACCGGAAGAAAACAAAAAAAAAACAAAAAACAAAACAAAACAAAAAGACATGCAGAGGATACAGATTGAAAAATAAACTATGTATCACTACTAAAAACTGAAAGTTAATTTTAAAACATATTCTATTAGAATTTAAATCTCATCAGAGTTGTTACTCATCCCTCTCCCTTCTACAGACAGTAAGTCTATTTTTTTATTCTTTTTTTTCTGTTTTTTGAAAAAGGGTTTCCCTCTGTAGTCCAGGCTGGCTTTGAACTCACTATGTAGTCCATGCTGGCCTTGAACTCACAGTGATCCTCCTGCCTCAGCAATTACAGGTGTGTGTTACAACACTTAGCTATATATTTTTTTTCTTCTTGCCTTCAAAATACTAAGCAAATTACTTACAGCTTTAAGGGTAAGATCACACTGGAAAACAAGTGTACGAAGTTGTGTTAAAATTTCTCTTTTAGTATTTTCTAGGTCATTTCGTCTTTCTTCAACATTAGTTACACAAACTTTGTAGAGTTCATTTGCTTCTTCTACCTTCAAGGAATACAGAAAAAAAAAAACACTGATTATTAGAATCCTCATTTTTTGTCTGTGTTTGTTTCTTGAGACAGAGTCTTGCTGTATAGTTCAGGCTGCCCCTGAACTCACTATTTAAGTCAAGTTGGCCTTAAACTTGCAGCAAGCCTCCTGCCTCAGCCTCCTGAGTGCTGGGATTACAGGCGTGCACCACCATGCCCAGCAGAATTCACATTTTAAAAACAAATACTTATGTAACTAAGTTGAAATAACTGGAAAGGCCTCTATTTATGAAAACAGAAATTATCTATATTTTGAATAGAATATTTCTAATGATAACAAATAGCAACCTGTTTTGGTTGGTGACTGAAGGGCACTTTAATGGATAGTCAAGTATAATTTACACTTAGCATATTGTCTATAAAATAAATGTTCAGTTCTATTTATTTATTTTTTATTTATTTATTTTTGTTTTTGTTTTTTTTCCGGTACCGGGAACCGAACTCATGACCTTGCGCATGCCAGGCAGGCGCTTTTGCCGCTGAGCTAAATCCCCAGCCCCTGTTCAGTTCTATTTAAAATAGCATTTTCTATTTATTAAAGAATTCAGGGGCTGGGGATTTAGCTCAGCGGCAAAGCGCCTGCCTGGCAAGCGCAAGGTCGTGAGTTCGGTTCCCGGTACCGAAGAAAAACAAAAAAAAAAAAAAAAAAAAAAAAAAAGAATTCAGTAAATTATGTTTCATAGGTAATACAAAACTACAGCCCATGCTTGCTAGCAGGTGCGGGAATCAGCACACACATAACACACTAACCCAAAAAGTAAAGTTTCTGAATAATCAAGTAAAAATATTAAATTACTGCCCTGTGTAAGATGCTTCTTTCACAAACAAAACCCCAAATTCCTAAGCTGCTGAAAGCAGTGGTTCTCCAAGTGTGGCTATCTCCCAGCAGTAGTAGCTGCAGAATAAACCTTGGAATGTGTTGGGAGATGCCAGGCAGCTGGCCCTGCCCCACCCCACTGCATCAGAACCTCAGTCTCCCAGGGAATCCCGACACATGTGGAAGTGTAAGAACCAAACCCTCAACTTTCAAATAATAAACACATTACTTTTTGAAGAGCCTCCTCTTCCAATCTTCGTTTTTTTTCTAGTTGCTTGTTGAGATTTTTTACTAATCCACTACTGGAATACATATGCTCTTCTTCTGCACGAAACATGGAGGATTTTGCTTTTTCATATTCATCTTGACGTTGCATGCATAACAATTTTGCCTTTTTCAGAGCAGTTTCTGTTTCAAGCTACATAGAAAAGAATATTAAACACAAAACATGAAACTCTGCAGTACAAATATCTTTAGTATATTCAAGAAGATGGATAAAATAGTATTTTAGAAAAGCTACACAGAAAAGTAGGCAGTTATACACAAAAGATAATTTTAGATGTCCACCAATAGGTACGTGATGCTCTACTATAATACTAACCATTTTATTTTGTTCCTGTTTCCAAAGTTCTTTTATTTCTTTCCTTTGTTTTTCCATTTCATTTTTTCTCCCAAGTAGAGGCTGTCAAGGGTAATTTTTAAAAAGAAAGAAAAAAAACCTGTTTATGGTATACTGCTGTTAAAAAAAAAAAAAATGTGTGTACTATAGATACAGAGTAATTTTTACCTGCACAAATTTGTTAGCTTGCAGAGCTGCAATCGTCTGCTGTAAAAGGTGACTGCTCTCTACGTCATTAAGAAGAGCACTAGTAAATAGAGACTGTAGTGGCATAAACTCCTAAAATTCAAAATTGAAAAATAAGTTTTACAATACAAAAATGACTAGTTATACATGTGACTAAGTGAGAAAAATACTGAAAAGTTAATTATAGTTATGAGCTAGTTAGCAAAATTAGTGGCCATCAAGATAATTTGCATAAATTTGTGAATTTTGAAGTTCTCTACTCTATTAACTGAGAGTTCTTAATTTTGCAAAACATTATTTGGGAGCTCATCTGAGTAGTCTCTTTTTTTAAAATCAAATTCTAGAAATTCACAGAGTACTCACTTGCAGTCCAATGTTAGCTCTAGTTGCCTCTGCCAACTTCACAATATTTCTAGTGGACTCCAATTCTGAAAAGATTGAAAAGATATGAGAAGGCAAAACTATTGTATTCTTCCCTACTCTAAAGTTATTTGTAGTTCTTTAATTTAAAAATTGACCATATGGTATAGACTAATATGGATCATGATACAATGTACTTATTCCTCTTTTTTTTGGTACTAGGAATACTAAACATTGCACTTGCCAGGTAGGTGCTGCACCACTGAGCTATATCCCTGGCCAATGTACTCATTCTTAATCATACATGCTCATCAAAATCAACTTGGGAAAGTTTTCAAATACACTTGCCTAGACCTTGCCTGTCTAAGGAATGAAACTTTGTCTCTTTAAGTTTATTCGGGTGATTCTGATTAGCATTCCCTATGAAAACCAGTGCAGTAGAAAGAACACAAGCTTTGGTAGATTCAATTTTCTTCCAGTTACACTATAATACCTTAAGCAAATTTGCTATATGACCTTAGAAAAATCACTTGTCTCAGTTGCAAAATGGAGACAACAATTCTTTTCTCGCCTTCTTCTCAGTGGTTTGCACAACTGAGATAATGGATATGAAAACACTTTAAAAATTATAAAACACTAGGGTAATATTAGCTATCAAAATTCCATTGCTTATACGTTCTTGGGTGCTTTTATGTCCTTTTACTATATTGTCTCACTGCATTAAAGTATGACTTCCATTTGTCTTTTTGTGCCTAGGTCTAGTGGTTGGCCCACAGTAAAATATTCATCAACTATACCTAGTATAAGGAAATCTCTGTTTCAAGAAGAGAAAGTGGATAATGATTTATTACAGTGAAAAATTACTGACTTGGAATCATAATATTCAGACTGTAGAAAATGAATTAAAAACAATTTAGTTCTTATACTCCAAAGTTAATAAGATGCTGTAAAGAACAACTTACCCAAGTTAAGCTTTTTTTCAACCCATGACACTATGTTCTTGGTATATTTTGACCATGTTTTAGCATATGACAAAGCCAGTTCTACAGAGTCAGTGTTCTTTAACAACACATTGTCTAGTTCAACAGGAGAAAAATTTCCTGAAAATAAGAATGTCAGGGCAGTATATGTTAAATATGATCACACAGTAATTCAAAATGAAGAAGTACTGAGGTCCCTAGATGTTTGTCAATAAAAACTGGTTTTCAAAAAGTTAAGCAGCAAGTTCATAATGAAAGGGTTTAAACATGAAATTGTTCAAATCAGAATGTAGTTTTAACCTTAATATATATTTCTATTATTCATTTGTTATAAGCCTTATGTAATTCTTAAATCAGTCTACATCATGACATTATTTACCTATGCTAGTGGGGTTTCCCCCTTAAATTGTATAGATTTTGCATTTAAAATGAATAGACTACTAGGTAAGAAGAGATTAAGTAATCTAGAACATTTTTGAAAGGAACTGCAAAATGACAAAAATTATAAGTATCTTGAGCATTACCTTTTTCATTGGATGAGTCCACTGAGTCCACAGAAATATTCTCAAAAGACTTACAACATGGAAGAGAACAAATTTAAGATTAGAGACACCAAACCTCTGCTTCAGAAAATTTTCACCTTAATTTGTTACTCTGCTAAAGAATTTCTTTTTTTTTTTTTTTGGTTTTTCTCCGGTACCGGGAACCGAACTCACGACCTTGCGCTTGCCAGGCAGGCACTTTGCCGCTGAGCTAAATCCCCAGCCCCTAAGAATTTCAAGTATTTAAAACTCAAAGGGCCTAAGAAGTCTGTTTAAATACCAAACACTATGTAAGAATTATACGGCTTTTTATCACTGCAGCTCACGAGATCCCAAAATGAACAACTTCATTGTTTATTAACAGCATTAATGTAAAACTTTAAATTCTGCAAATCTCTAAAGTACTGGGAAGTTAAGCATACAACCAAAATAAACTACTTTCTAAATAGATAACATTGATCTATCTTTTTTTCTTTTGGTGCTGGGAATTGAACTCAGGACCTTGCGCTTGGCAGGCAGGCACTTGTGCCACTGAGCTATATCCCTGGCCCTCGATGTATCTTGTTTAGCTATCTTTTACCACATTATCATATGGCAAACATGTCTTTGAAAGTTTATTAGATGGCTTATACAGAACTTTCTGTGATGATGGAAATGCTTTATGTATGTACTACCCTATATGGTAGATACTAGTTACATGTTACCCACTTGAGCATTTAAAAAATGGCCAGTATGATTAAAGAGAATTTTAAATTTAACTATCAGTTAATTTAATTATAAAAAGTACATGTGCCTAGTGGCTATGGTACCTTATTAGGTGGCACTAGAAAACTCTACCTACAACATTTGTTAGATGTTAAATTTGATCTGCTTGGTTGAGCAATGTGTATTATGCAAGGATTCAACACAAAAGGAATCAAAGAGACCTAGGTCTGAAGTCTAGCTCTATTTATTAACTGTATGATATTAAGCTACATGCTTAAGTTCACCTAATTTTAGTTTGCCCTTCTGTGAAAGAAGGATAGAATACTATATTCATAAGTCTGTTTTAAGGATTGAAATTATGCAGGCTTAGCAAAGTGAAGGGTACAGCACTATTAAATAAAGTTCAGCTATTATTTTTAAAGGATATTTTTCAGGACTCTTAAGCAAATAAAGCAGTTTTATAATTAGCATTATATCATCAGTAGCTTTTCAATTCCAATGTTTAAGGGAAATTAAAACCTGAAAAAGGGCCAGGGATACAGCTCAGCAGTACAGCACCTGCCTGGCAAGCGTGAGGTCATGGGTTGGATTCCAAGTACAAAAAAAGAAGACTCAAAAAAGAAAATAAGATGCAAAAGAAAAAAAGGGATGGGTAGTACTTTCTGTTAAGAATCAGTATATCTGTACACAATAGAGGCATATGAGCAGAAAAATGATTTGCAATTAAAATTTAAGTTGTTCAAAGTATTAGCAACAGTTTAAAACAGTAAAATTGAGGAAGAATCATGAATAAGAGTGAAACATTTAAATATTTTAAGTCTTCTTCATTCTCCTTCATTCTTCAAAGGATGGCTATAGAAATAGTCCTTATTTTTTTGGCAGCATTATAATGTATTTAACAAATACCTTAAGTAGCCATTCATATTTTTTACCATTTTAAGAACAATGTAAAGTATTTATATTATTTTGACATAATATAAGTTCATGACATCTTTCCAGATATTCATTGAAATCTTTTTTGGAGCTGATATATCCATGATGTAGTTTAACTATCTTGTATTCAGTGGGAAAAAAATGCAGTCAACTGAAAATACTACAATTGTAAATCTTTAAAGCAATATCCTCCATGCATTGCTCATGTTCTACTATTCCAAAGTGATTGTTCTTCTAATTAGAAATCCCAATCCTGTGACGTACTTATTGGGATGCTCTCAGGGACAATTAAGACCTACAGGATGTTAACAAACACAAATTGTAGGACTTGTGAGAAGATTAATACTCTATTTCAGGAAACAACTGAAATATTAAAAGTATTAAAAGTTCTGCTGTCACACAAACTTAGCCTACCTTATTGTCCCGAGAAACAGGTAGTCGTAATGATGACTCATTGCCTACATCTCCCATAAGGAAGTTTGTAAGGCTATCCAGGAAGGTTAAAAAAAAATAAAAAGACAGATCATTACACTTGTCACAAGCTTTAGCTTCAATTTATCATCTAGAACGAATTCTTTTAAGAACCTGAGGAAAAAACTCTTAGGAATCCATTCACATAAATCATAAACATGATCAGTTACAAATGAATGCGGCCTTAAATATTTGGCCATAAAGAGACTTGCAAATATAATAATAAGGTAGTACAGAACGCAGCTTTTCCAAAGTTGTTACAGTCAATACTTTATTTTATATATATATACACATTCACATACCTACATAATTACATAATATACACACATAAATTACACAATACACATCCTAGGCCCATTTATTTAAATGACATTCCTCTACTTACATATTCCCAAAGGTAAACGCCAAAGTTTCAATGGAAGAACACACTTCTCGGAATAAATCATTTTTGTTTTCTTCATTAACTTCTGTAAAGTTCACAGCTACAGAGAAAGGTTGGTAACAATAAATAAAGGGGAAAATATCTGAAAGATGATTTACACAAAATAATTTAATCTTTTAAAAATTCACCATTGAAAGACTGAGATACTAAAAAGCCTAATATACAAAATGGATAGAACTTTCAAGTCCATCATTAAGAAAATCATACAAAAAAATCAGTTTGCATAAAAATAGCTGGCATTCTAAACTGACTACTGTATGCATTATATAAGTTGATATATTTAAAAAGCAAATTAATGTGAAATCAGTCTTAGAGTGACAAGAATCCAGGTTACACCAGACCTCTTTACAAAAAGTGTTTTGTGTTATTTTTTTCTTACTGATTTCTGGCTAGCTGTTTGTTTACTTATTTATCTATTTATTTATTTATTTTTTACTGGTATTGAGAATTGAACCCAGGACCTTTATACTAAGCTACATCTCATCGTTTTATTTTTATTTTATTTTATTTTATTTTTTGGTACTGGGAATCAAACTCAGGACCTTGCGCCTGCCAGGCAGGCACTTCAGCTGCTGAGCTATATGCCCATCCCCTATCTTTTTATTTTTTATTTTGAAGCAGGGTCTTGTAAGTTGCCCAGCCTGGGTGTGAACTTGTGATTCTCCTGCCTCAGCCTCCTAATGTGCTGGGATTACAGATGTCTCTTACCATACCTGGCTTCTTCTTGGCATTTTCAAATATAGTTAAATACTCTGTGCCTCATTGAGTTCAAGATGGAGCATGTACTTACTACCAATTACCTATAATTGAAGTAATATATATATATATATATATATATATATATATCTGACATACCATTAAACCTATAATGCAACACATCACATTTTAAAAAACACATTACCTTACAAAGTTTAAATTTCTATTTATCTACAGTCTTAGCACTCTTAGGCTTTGGGGTCCATGTTAATTGACATACAATTGCCTTTTATTTACAACAAAGACAGAGGGACAGGCTGCATTTTGTTAATGCAAACTGTGAAGTACAACTGGGAAAAAGCATCTTAACTTCTGGATGCACTCTTGTTAAAAGCCCAAACACTATTTATGAAGACAAAATTTGAAGATGCATTTGCTCTTTTTAAAAATTAACCATGCTGGTTCCCTGCCTTGTACCACACTGTTTTTAAAAGCCCAAACACTATTTATGAAGACAAAATTTGAAGATGCATTTGCTCTTTTTTAAAATTAACCATGCTGGTTCCCTGCCTTGTACCACACTGTTTTTAGTATCCTTGCCAATAAAGGAAAGGAAGAGAAGTCATGTAGACATCAGCCATGTTCTGCTATACCAGCTGTTTTTAATCTTGGATAGGAATTTCTGAAAACAAAGTTGACCACATCACTGACTATTTAGATTTCATATGTGTGTAGTAAAGCATAGACACTTTTCCAAAAGCTCTCCCAGTTGATTCTAATATGCAAACAGGGTTGGAAAGCAAGAACTTCTAGATAGGAATGAATTAAACCTCAAGCTTATAAACCCCATGAAATTAAAGCCAACATTTTACATTTATAAGCTTTCATAGATTTGGGGGACTAAAGTCCATACTTGTCATTAGACTCTCTAATACAAACCTCTAATAAATACCTCTAATACAAACCCAGAGAAGGGGCTGGGGATTTAGCTCAGCGGCAAAGCGCCTGCCTGGCAAGCGCAAGGTCGTGAGTTCGGTTCCCAGTACCGGAGAAAAACGAAAAACAAAAAACAAAAAAAAAAAACAAACAGAGAGAAACTTAAGAATCACTGTAAATAAGTTTTAAAATATTCTTAGACTTCTGTTCTGTCTAAGATGGAGAAACAGGTTGTAGTACTTCTGCCTGAAACAACTAAAAACAAAAACAAAACTTGTACAAAATTTAAGAAATGATTTTCAAACACTGGATTACCAGGTAGCAAATGACTAACTCTTAACAGATAAGAAATAAAACACAGTAAGCTTACAAATGTGCCAGCTTACTGCTAAGTATCAAACAAAGTAGATTCCCAAGCAAAAGGCCACCAGGGATTAAAAAAAAGTCATTTCATATTTATGAAGGAATCAGTTCCTCAGGAGGGTACAACAAGGCTATACATCTATGCATCTAACAAAGCACAGCTTCAAAATGCACAAAGCAAAAGTTGATAGAACTGCAATGAGAAACAGTGATAGCCCAAAATTTTAATAACCCACTCAATACAAAAGAACACAGAAAATAAGGAAGGAAAGCTTTGAATAATACTATCAACTCCCATGACAAGACACATATGGAACACTACTCAGTAACAGCAAACACATGTTCTTTCCAAATGAATATTTACCAACATATTACAGATCATAAAGTAAGTTTAAAGGAGTTTAAAAGTACTCCAATCAGGCAAGATAGAAGTAACAGAAAGATTTCTGAAAAATTCCCAAGCATTTGGAAACTAACACTGCTAAAAAACCTCATGGGTCAAAGAACAAAAAAAAACCAGTATTCTGCACAGAATGAAAATGAAAACAAAAACACAACATATCAGAATTTATGAAAGGGGAGGTGGGAAGTGCAGGTAAAGAGAGGAATTGTAACAGGGCAAACATTATCTTGATGATGATGGCTTTATAAGAATATGTGTACATCAGAACTTATCAAATTGTATTCTTCAAATATGAACAATTTATTACATATCAATTGTACCTCAGTTAAGCTGTTTTTAATTTTGTTGGAAAGTACTTCAATTATGATATGTAACATAATACCATCACAACTGTAAAGCTTAATCATATTTCTTAACTTTAACCAGTTAGGCTTTAAAGAGAAAACCTCATAACACTATCTAAAATTCCAGAATATTTCTTCCTATAAGTATACTTCATGGCATTAAACATGACTAGGAGATTAAAAATAATAACTACAGTAATTGTAAGCACCTAAAAGACAACGGCTTGAACTATTTCCCTTTGTTGTCTTCATATCGACTTAATGAAGTTGCACCCACCTAATGACAATTCCTGTTATTGCTTTTGCCTCCAATTTTGTCTCTATTTCTAATATCCCTTCTCCTTTGTGCTACACTTGGTATTTCAAAGAAAAGCATGGCTCCTTTCCAGTAACTCCTCTCACTTTCTCCTATCTTCTCTAGAATGCTATACTATCATTATTCCTACCTCCAGCCTTCACTATCTCCCATTCAATTAACGTTTTTCTTAAAACTACTCAATTCTTTCCTATGTGAAAAACATGTTCATTTTAATATATTTATTCTGAAAGCTATGCTCCAATCTAGTATACTATTTCTTCATTACCGATTTCTACAAATAGGTCATGCTGTATTACCTGCATTACTTTCACTCCCAAATTAAACCTGAATTCACCAAGATTTGACTTTTTACCCAGTTTAGTTATCAGGTACTGGAAAACATTTTCTATGAAGGGTTAGGGAGTAAACATTTTAGAGTTTTCAGGCCCTATGGTCTGTTGCAATTACTCAGCTCCACCGAAAGAGGCCAAGGGTGCTAACATAACTGAGTAACAATGATGGTGTTTCAATAAAACTTTACTTACAAAAAATAGGAGGCAGACTAGATTTGGCCCACAAGCCTTAGTTTGTTGACTCCTAAGAGGAAGAATTCCAAAACCAGTCTTTCTAGGTTAAGTCCTACCTATACTTCATAACTTAACTCTTCTATGCAACTGTTTCATCATTTATAAAACAGGGATAACTATGTATCTTAAGTCATTGTGAAAATTAAATGTGGACAGGACAGAGCCTGATACATACAAAATGTTCAATACATACTAGCTACTATTTTCATACACTCTACTGAACAACGCTGTCAGCAATAACTGCCTATTTGTCAAAAATGGAGCCTTTCCCCCTCACTTTTCCATAATTTTACCGCTTAATATATGGGCAACCTTGGACAAACCTCCTTCTGTGTTCTAAATACTTCATCTGCAAAATGAGAATTGATATGAAGATATGATATGAAGAGTTGATATGAAAAGTTGTGAATATTACATGTGATAATCCATGTAAACAGTTTAATGTGTACAGTACATCAATCCTGAATAACGTCAACTATAATTACTGCAAACATTAACCACTTCCTTCCATTTTAAAAATATTCTGCTCTCTTAGAAGCAATGTATTATTGTAACTGGAAGAAATAAGGCTATGGAGTTTTATACCTGAATTCAACTATGACCTCTACTATTCCTGTGTTAGTCCAGACACATTAGCTAACCTCAATTTCTTCAAATGCAAAATGGCACATTATTGAGAAGAACTAAGAAAACAAATGTAACGGATATACATTACAGTGCTTAATATTCAACAGACTTGAGTGCCTTCCTAAATTCTGTATCTGTCTGCAGACAATCTGTATGTCACGGTTTCCCCACATTCAGCCTACAGTCTCATGTTGCCTTCTTGTCTATACATTACTCCTACATGACTTCATTCACTTTCTTTCTTTCTTTCTTTTGGTACTGGGAATTGAACTCATGACCTCGCGCTTGCACAGAAGCACTGTGCTGCTGAGTTATATCCCCTGCATTTCATTCACTTTCATACCTATAAGGTAATGAATTCCTAAACCACTTGTCTAGTTGAAACCTGAGCCCCAGCCCCACATTTCCAACAGGTTTCCCTTGGCATGTTTCTTGCTCTATTAACCACCCACTCTTTTCCATTCACTAAGCTCATTATCTTTGCTTTCAAAATGTTCCAAAATAGAAGCTCTAAGTAATGTATGTAAGAATTCAGTGACTGATGATAAAAGTGACAACTCCAATCAATGGGAAAATATGAATTATTGATAAATTAACAATACCTATATGATTTACAATATACCAAATATTTAAATTTAATAAATAATATCTAAAAACATCTGGAAAAAAAACCTGGAAAAATTCCATAATCTCATAGCAGGGAAGACTAACACATAAAACCCAGAAACCATACCCAAAAAATAGAAAGACTAATAAATTTAAATGCAAAAATAAGATACATCAGAAGAAAAAAAATGAAGAAAATGCACAATTTAAATCAAAGAGTATGGGCTAATTTTACCTATACAAAGAGAATTTCTACAAATTTATACTAAGAAAAGATCAACCACCAAGGCAGAAACAGATGAAAAGATCAATTCACACAAATGGACGTACAGGTCAACACAGGCCTGTAATCGTAGAAATCTGGGAGGCTGAAATAGGAAAATAATGAGTTCAAACCCAGTGTGGGAAACAGCCATTTAACAAAATCCTGTCTCAAAATTTTAAAAAGGGGCCAGGAATGTAGTCAGTGCAAAGGCCCTGGAAATTCTAAGTACATAAATAAACAAACAAACAAGATATATAAATGGCCCTAAAACAATTAAAATGCGGTACCAGAGAAAAACCAAAAAAAAAAAAAAAAACAATTAAAATGGTTTTCAGCTGCACTCAAAATAAGGGAAATGCAAATTAAATCTACACTGAGATACCAATTTTCCCTGATAACCTAGATAACAAAGCTTGGCAACCAGAGCTGCTGGTAAAGATAATCAACCTCTTCAGCACTGCTGTGGGAAGGGCAGAACCTCTATAGAAGACTTCTAACAATATCAAAAAATATAAACACACACAGTCACTGATTCAGCAAATGCCCATCTAAGAATCTGCATAACTATTTAATGAAGCATCATTCATAATGGAAAAAAAGTGAAAACAGTACAAACACTTATTAGTAATGAACTGGTTAAATAAATTGTCTATTAATGGACCACCATATCGTTTTGGAAAAATAAAACTAGTAACAAAAGAAGAGGGAAACCCTTTATGTGCAGACAAATGAGCAAAAAGCAGAATACTACCACCTGTATAAAAACGAGGTTAAAGAGAATCCATGTTGTTTTCTTTTTTTGGTACTGGGACTCAAACTCAGGACCTTGCTAGGCAGGTGCTTGTGCCACTGAGCTATACCCCCAGCCCAAGAGTATATGTATTTGCACGTATGCATCTCTGGAAAAATACACAAGAAAACAGTAATAGCTATTAGTTATCCAGGGAGAGGAATGGGTAGCTAAGGGTCTGACGTAGGAAAGAAATTTCACTGTAGAATACCCTCTTATATAATTTTCACTTTGAATTGTATGAACGAGCTGCATATAGAAAATTAAGTTTGCAGAACAGAAAGAAAATATGAGGCTTCTATAATATTGGAGGTATAGTTAGGCTTATTTTTCTATTTTATTTGCCAGTTTATAAATATAGGGCAAAATACAGACTGAAAACCTATAAAAAGTTTTTGCCTTTTATATTACCAATAAAATTGAGCTAAAGAAATGAAAACATAAATACTGAGCACATCATAAATTACTGAATTCTGAAGATGTCTTTATCTGCTTCAAAAATAGACTGTATCTGTCCTATCATATTGCAAAAATTTGTCAGACTGAACTTCCTGCTTGGAAACAGGAGGAGATAAAGGAAATACAAATCACTACTAGAATGAATGAAGAATAGCTAAGAATTTTTATTTTAAAGTTAGTACAAAGTAAATTCCATATTCAAAATAAAATAAGGGCAGTTAAAAATTTCAATTCTTTGCCAGAGTGTGGTGGTGCATGCCTGTAATCCCAACACTCTGAGGGCTGAGGCAGGAGGATCACTGCAAGTTCTGAGGCCAGTCCGTGCTATAAAGTGAGTTCAAGGCTAGCCTGAACTGCATAGTGAAACCCTGTCTCAAAAAAAAACAAAAAAAACTTCAATTTTTCATTTCTTATGAAGTAGATAGACCTCATATATTCAAATCTGTGTTAACATAAGATTGTGCATCTCTCTGATTCTACAGTTATTCTGCACTGTATTTTCTTACTCTCTCTCTTTCCTCCCTTCTTCCCTCCCCTTCCTTCTTTCTACAATTTAGTAAATATGAAAAATGCATTTTACCAGTAAGACCTACAAAACAAGTCAACTGCTCTTGTCAACTGTTATTTTGTAAAAATGTAATCAGGGGGTTAGATTAAAAGATGTAAATGTTCACTCTATTTCTTTAGTATTTTGATCTTACCATACAATAGTTTTTCTTAATGTTTCTAAAATAAAGATGTTATGTTGCTTTTCTTTTTTGGCAAAGAATGAAGTATGTGAAGCACTTACATGGTTTGGCATAGGAGAGACACTAAAAATGTTTTTCACCCATCCCTTGCCTTTCCAGGTTTTGAAAAGTAAATTGTCATAAAATAAAGTAATTAAATAAACTCTGACTTGACTCTATTTTGCAGGTCACTGAGTATTTTTCATTTGCAACATCAATATATTTTTGGAAGGCTTTCACAGTAACAGTGGGGACAGGGAAGGTAGTTTTATTTAGAAACACATAAATTTAACCCAAAGAAACCACTTTTAAAGTTTTCTAATCTCATCCAATCTTCCTGGTACAGAGTAAGTTTCCCAAAAAGTTATCTTCCCCTTTAAAATTTCAAGCAACACGAAAGTAAAATAGTAACACTGATCCCAAGTGTAAAGTCAGTCATTGTGGGAAAGTCAAAAGACTGCTTTACCTCAGAGATAAAAAGATCTTCAAGGCGGCTGAGAGACCACTCTCCTCTAGTCTGTTTCTGGAATGTGGATCAAGCACCCTGGAGCACTCCTTCCCCAGGACATCCTGACTGTACACAATAGCCACTGACAACAATTGAACTAGCTGGCTATTTCCAAGCATGGAAATTTTACTATCTATAGACACAAATTTCCCTACCTAAGTAATGTTAAATGGCACTTGTAAACAATCTATTCAAAAACAAATTTGGTTATTAAGCACATTTTTTAAAAGTCACAACAGAGGCTACCCATGTTCCTCATTTAGAATCATCTACAGTACATGTTTTGGTTTTTTTTTTCTTTTTGAGACAGGGTCTTGCTATGTGGTTCAGGCTGGCCTTGAGCTCACTTTGTAGCCCAGGCTGTCTCGAACTCACAACGATCCTCCTGCCTCAACCTCCCGAGTGCTGGGATTACAGGCGTATGTCACCATGCCCAGCTACAATACTTGTTTTTTCCAGTACTTTAAATAAAGAAAACCACACAAACAGGATAAATCCATATCATGGGGTGTGTGTGTGTGTGTGTGTGTGTGTACAAACTATTTTATTGGCTGGGTGTTTATTTTCTCTTCCTGCCTTATTTTTTGACATTGCCCTCTGGTCTCTCCAAATAAAAGAGTGTGGCCATCAACTGTTCTGCTTTACGTCTACTAGATGGCCCCTAAAGCCTCACGTACTCACGGGTAGGGCTTTTGAGAGGTGAGGATCCTGGGGGCACTGATTAGTTCACTGATGAGTTTACAGCTGTGTTTGGGAGGTGAAGCCTGGTTGGAGGAGGTGGGTCACGGGGGCATGGCCTGGAAAGGTCTATCTCCTTCTCTCCTCCTCTTCTGTTTGATTCCTCTTTTCTGTCTCCTGCTGCCACCAAGCCCCTCTGTTAATGCCACTCTGACTTGGAGCCAGCTGACTACAGCCTGAAACCTCTACAAACTGTGGGCCAAAATAAACCTCTCCTTATTTAATCTGTGGTGTCTCCGGGATGAGAAAGTAACTAAGATACCAATCTTATCATGTTCTTCATATCCAGAGTTCTTGTTCAGGGGCCTATTACATGGCAGGCCCAATCCTGCCACTCCTCCAACCCAGTTAATGCCTATATTTGACCTTTGAAACTCAGAATAGGTAACCCTTCTCCCCAAAGAAATTTTTCTTTTCTTCATTTAACCTCAGATGGGGTGCTTACTGTGTTCCCTTGGTGCCTGTGTATATACCTCTATCACAGAACTGGCTGTGACTTTATCTTTCTCTGACTCCACTACACCACTGTCACCTTTAGGTCACTTTTTATGGTCTGATTACTTGAATCCATATTTTCATATCAGTGGCATTTTATACTGATGACACTTCTTAAAACCCCACACTTTAAAAATTCTGTAACATTTTTCTTTTGATCATCTCCTTGCCTACTGGTTTCTCCAGTTCGTCTGTCTTCTTTGCCTCTAGATTTCATCAGTCTTCCGTCTATTCTGCACACTCTGAATTAATACCACAGCCTTCTCTTACCACCTATACATCAATAATTCACATGCCTGCACCTTCAAATTCAAATTTCTCTATAATCCCTAATGTTTATCCTGTCTTATATTTTGTCAAACTGACATCTATCCCCTCTATATGACAACCAACATTACGCTAGTACTATATCCCAGTTTCTGGCCTTAGATCAAAGCCTACTGCCCTTATCAAGACCATTATTTCTAACCACCTCGTAACTGATTTAAAGACTCTCTTCACTCTTTCTTATAATAATCCTTTTTATTGTACACTACAGCCCAGCATAACAATTTCAACAATTCTGAGTGGCAAGTCATTCCAGAAGATCATGTCTAAATTCTTGATTCTGTTTAAGTACATATATGCATTTTCCCATATAGGTACATATATAACTTATTTATAATTTTAATTTCATTTTCAGATCTTAAAGTAAATCTTTTTCTCCATTTGGTTGTACAAATTGGAGTTACTACAAATGGCTATTTTCCAACCCCAACATAAAAAAAGAACTCCTCTACACTAAGAAATTCCCTCAAATGTGCATGAATTTGTTCATAAAACTAAAAATGTAAATATCATTGTTTAGTTTAAATTACTTTGTTTACAGTGTTTGCAGCCAAATAAAAGTTTAATTTTTAAGCTTCATGGGTGACTTAGCAGTAATTTTTTTTTTTTTTTGGTGCTGGGAATTGGGCTGAGGACCTTGCACTTGCCAAGCAGGCACTTGTGCTGCTGAGCTAGATCTCCAGCCCCTTAGCTGTAATATTTAAATATTAAAGTACATACACATAACCCTTTATTGACCCCCATTATATAAATGCCATGAGAAGACATGGCTATAGCATGACTACGGATCAAAATGTACCACTTGAACCTTTTCTACACAGCAACCTACTTTTAAGGTATCTTCCTTACCTTTCACTTTTGCAGTAAGTACATCTGCAGCATTCTGTAGATCAACAGAATTGAGGTTCTGATGCTTATTCATTACGGACTTTAAAACACGGAGAAGTTCCTCTAGACGTATATGAATGACTTCTTTAAAACAATCTTAAAAGGAAAAAAATTAAATGTGCTTCTAAAGCAAAATTCTGGAAATCTAAGCTACAAAACATGTGACGCATATTTCACAAAGAAAGCACTGGTTCCACAATTTTTGCCTACTACACATTCAATTGTATTTTCACTACTGTAATTATATATACAATGGAGACAGCCCTCAAAAATCATGAATCATTTTCATTCATTAAGGATTTCAAAGGCTCTCTCAAGTGTGGTTAATTTACTGTAGTACTACCTTTTTCATTTTTGTCCAGATTTCCTCTAAGGAAACTATATAAGGTATTCTCTGTCTTATAGTTATTACTATCTTACACTTTAACACATTCCTGCTGGCTTGAACCACCACTGTGTGGCTTGCACCACTGGTGGCAGAAAGTAGTACAGTCATGCATGCGACAGTCATGTATGTGCCACAAATGATTCAAGCCACCTAGCAGACATTCAAGTTATGCCCCCTGTGGGTGAGTGTGTCAATGTATAGTAACAAAGTTAAAACCCCTAAAAAGTCTGATAATATTAACCAATATTTTAAAAAACACATGTTAATTTTCTACATCAGAATTGATTATTTGCATTATTAGTTACTGGAAGCCATAAACTCATAGGCATATATATAAGGACCATCATTTGATCTTTTCATGTGTAAAACTGTGATATCAATTATATATGATAAAATATACAGATCTTTAATACATTTTTGCACTTTTTAGAAAAACAGAATTAGTTGCCAATGATCATTAAAAAAAAAAAATCCCAGATGTCTGCCTAGTCCTACAAAAGTAAGACTTGGTTTTACCAAACCTACCTTTCTCCGTGGCCCTTGCAGCTGAAACAAAACAGTGCTGCCCTCCTAGATGTGCATTTTCCTCAGGACTCACTAGTCTAACCCCAGTCTACTCCATTCATTTATACCACCCTTGGTCAGAGGGATGCAAATAAGAGCTTTACAAGCCATGTAAGTAAGGTGACTACATAACTTACCATCGAAACCAAACTATTTTTGTGAGTAAAAAGGATGCTACTTATAATCATGCAGCGTATTTCTGGATTACCATTCCCAATGGAAATCTAGGTTAACAACTGTGACACTGCTATACATGTATACTAGAATTGAGTAACTAAATAAATGGAGGGCAGATGATAGGAATCAGATATCTCACTTTGGAGTGGAAATTAGACATAAAAGGAGACTATACTAGTCAATATAGTGATAAAGTCGGACACTTCATTAAGAACTGACTTTAGCTTAATATAGATGGTTATACATAGATATATTTATAGATATATGTATATGGCCAAATGGATTCATACACACATAGTTATTTCTTTGTCAGATGATGCTTTTAAAAGATATCCCAGTATTCAGCATGCATATGTAGCACCTAGATCTTGGTTTCTAATACTATGCTCCAATGAAAACCACAGATTCTTAAAGAAACAGCTGATTCTAGGACAGTGGTAGAAAATGTATGAGCTAAGACAGGAGCATCTGGTAGGATCAGAAAGTAAGGAAGACTTTTTTTAAAAAAATGAGAAGCATATGTCAAAGGTATATAAGAAGATAATGAAAGAGTTCTCACTGGCCAAATCTGGAAATACTTGAGTAAAAAATTAATAAAGTAATACTGGCTTATAACATATAAACTAAATATCCAACATTTATATTTACTATAATCAACAATAAATTTGTAATAGAGAAGAAATAAATCTCTCATGTAAAAGAATACTAAATACTTTATGTAGAAAATTTGTCCTGAAGGAGGTAAAGCATAATACCCTTAAATGTGGATTATACATGATGACTTTTCTCCTAGTTTGCATAGCAGGACAAAAACAGTAACTTTATATGGAGAAACAGCTGACAAACAGTACTTAAGACAGTTGATCAAGGACAACAGTGATAACAATAAATCATGTTGAAAGTAAGTACTCTTGATATGATGTGATGTTACTCCAGTAACTATCAGCATAAATGGTTTACCAACTTAAAATTCCTTTTCCTCCAAAGAAGCCCTTATAAAGCGATAATGAAGTTGTTCCAAATCAACATACTGAAAGATCATAACAGATTTATTTAATAACACTCTGTAGAAAGACCTAAAATTGCACTACAAATAATTCTAATTCCTATGATTAAATAAATTTCTGAAGCCTATAAATCAAGAGAAACTAACAAGACAACTAAGGAAAATGTTAATCACAAAGATTCATAAACTTTCCTATATACTTCAGTAAAGGGTCAACTACTAGGATATCAATATATCCTGATATTACTTCACCTGGGATTTCATAAATAGAAAGCCCTCAACTATTTGTGCCTTAAATGGTAATATAAGAAGTTCCATTTTTACTTTTTTCTGAGGCAGGGTCTCATTTTGCAGTTCAGGGTGTTCTTGAACTGATCATGTAGCCCAGCTGGCCTCAAACTCAGGGCAATCTACCTGACCCAGCTGCCTGAGTACTGGGATTACAGATGTGTGCCACTATGCTCAATCTTCAGCAAATGTCCTCAAACTCAATTTTATGAAGCAAAAACCTCTTAAATTAAAAATATAACTTTATAAAAAGTTCTAAGGAATTTAAACAGCTTACTTATTAACATTACTCCTGTTTGACTCCCCCAAACAAACAAAACAATAGCACAATGACTAAAACAAGAGGTAACAGATATTGTCCTATACTGAAGAAAGAAAAGCAGGTGCTTGGCTGAGCAGAGCGCGAACAGATTTAGAATAAGAAACCTGGGTTCCAATCCTTCATGTGCCACTTCCTTGAAATAACCATAGGACTATATGAAATTCTTGACTTCTTTGATCTCAGATTCATCATCCATAAAAGAGAATTGCTAAAAATTACCTGTCTTGTCACCCTTAGAAAGTAGTTCTGAATATTAAACATATTTAATAGAAATGAAATTGATTACTGTCTTACACACAAATGATTACTAGTAAACCTGTGAGCCATTCACACTAAATACTTTTCAAAACAGATTACCTCACATAGACCTGTATTCAATAAAAAACACAGGCATGCCCCACAATAGTTTGGTTAACAGCAAACATTAAAGTTTAAATTTTACTTTATATGTAATATCTAAGTAAATTACTTGGAAATAAAGTAGTCATTAAGGACACACTTTATAAAAATGTGTATACCTATCAATTTAAAATTAGAGTATTTAATCTAATCCTGTAACTAAATATGATTTTTAAATGATATAGTGGCCATTCTATAAATAAAATGAAGTTTAATTTACACTACAAATGTTTTGTAAATGTGAATACAATGAAGTTCAACTAAAATCCTAACACTAAATTATCCAGAACAATAAAATAATATCCCAAAGTTTGTTTATATACTATCCCTGTAACATGATAATCTGAGTTTTAATTTATTGTTTCATCTATTTGTGCCATTTACTTTGTTTAATTCAGCTTATCAAGTGAAAACAGATTAAGCAGCTCCACTTTTTGGTTCTCATGAATTAATACAATACCACAGTGTTTACACTGCAAACACTGCATGGAAATACTTAAGTAAATAAATGGAAAAACATGATATTTTCCTTGATTAAAAAACCTGACATTTCGGAAATCCTTTAAGAGTTGTTACTAAGCCTCCATACGAAATTACTGAAACAGGATGGGGTGAATTCGAAATAATCATCAAAATATTTTTCATTGACCCGAATGAAGGACCTGTAACTCTATACCGTTTGTTAAAGCTATTCCAATCAGACACCAATGCAATGTTGGGTCAGAGTCTGGTTAACAGCAAACATTAAAGTTTAAATTTTTAAATAGCAAAAAGTTGTTTCAGAGTTCTATGATGAAATGATATTTCAAGACCCAACAGCAATGATGCAACAGTTATTAACAACGTCACGTCAGCTAACATTAGGAGCCTATAAGCATGAGACAGAATTTGCAAAACTTGAAGTGAAAACCAACGAAAAGTTAGAAGCTGCCAAGAAAAAAACAAGCTTTGAAATTGCAGAGCTTAAGGAGAGGTTAAAAGCAAGTCATGAAACTATAAATTGTTTAAAAAATGAAATCATGAAATTTGAAGATGATGATCAGACAAAAGACATATAAACAGTTCTAAAGAGAAGTTGGTAGTGTGCTAATAAGGGGAACTTTATGGAGAAATGGGCTTAATGCAAATGCTGTGTTTCTTAGAGGAAATGCATATGTAGTTGTCAACCATGGATTTCTCAGCAGTGGAGTCAAGATATTCTGTTCAATCTTTAATGGAAAATATATGTGTAATAAGAACGGATGCTGTGTAGGCATTTTACTACTCCATTTTAGGAAGATTCTATAATGTGAAGCACAATTTTTAAATTTTATTGGAGTATATGAGTAGCTTATTTTCCCTTTGGCAAGCATCAAAATGTCATTATCAGTAAATACCCTGTACAAATTTTGTACTTCTGTAGTAATTAGAACTAAAGATTCTAAAAAAAAAATTAACTAATTAATTAAATTAAATAAAAAAATTTAAAAACTGACAATTGGTAAGTTAGTCTTGTTAACAAAGCTTAACCTCTAGGGCAGTGGCCGTGAACTTATGGCATAGTGGGCTGTCTGTATCACTGACAGCTGTAGAAGGTTCACGATCACTGCTCTAGTGAAAGCAATGAAAACAAGTCCGAAAAAAGCACAAGAACTTCTTGCCAGGAAATCTCTATTTCTTTTTTTTTTGCTGTAATGAGTTTTGAATTTACAGGATAAAAGTGAGGCCTGAGGAGCTTGTGGAATGTATGAATAATAACAGCTGAAATTTTAAAACACTCCAAGAGCTTCAAATATAGGATCTCATTTAATCCCTCCCCTCACCCAATCCAACGAAGCAGGCACTACTATCTCCTCGTGACAGACGTAGAAACTGAGGTACAAAAAAGAGAAATAGTTTGCCTGGTGTTAACAAGTAGCAGAAGGAGGATTCCACCTCAGGTATTCTGGCTCTAAAATCTGTGTTCTTAATCC